TTGGAAACCTGGTCGAGAAATCGATGCTTTTTCAAAAAGGGCTACCCATGACTGGTATGGGGCGCCCGGTCGGCCTTTCCCGTGTGGGTGAACTTTTACCGGGACAGCTTTGGTGACCCTGACTATCTCGTCGGCCACCATCTTTTCTGTGATAAGAACTTTGCCCATTATTGTGTTAATTGCGACTGGGACCGTCGCTATTCTAAGGGAAGCCAAGTCCGAGGCTTTCTCCAATATCGCATCCTGCTGGGCGAAGGATCCAGCTAGGCCAAGCATCAGCGTGCGTGCCTCTTGGTTTTCGGCTCTGATTGCGAAGCCAGTTGGCACACGGTAGACATGCTAAATTTTTGTTTGGGGGATTTCGAGCATTTGCGTAATTGCTTCTCTAACACCGAAAGGTGAGAGTGTTCGCCAGGGATGTTCTTTTTCGAAGCGGAGAAACAAACGTTCGTCTTGCATGGCCGGTTTTGTTGGCCCGGTTGAACTTTGGGCCATTCGAGACGAGTTTGCCGCCTTGGGCATTGTCTGTGCGACTTTTGTAGGTGCCGGGAGCGTCTGTAGACCATTACGGGTGATCGAGGCCCAAGTGGTTTTGGCCTGGCGCACTTCGGCTTGAGCCGCTTCGCGTTGTGGCTCACTTTGCTTACCAGCAGCATATTCTGCGTTCTTGCAACTAGTAGCCTGGCTTTCGGGGCGTGGGGGAAGTGATGGGAGGACTGTACCTGGTCCCGCGATCATGAATTGAGCTATTGCAGCTCTAATGTAGACTTTCATAGAGTCTATAAATTGAACACTCGGCCCTTTGGATAGGGGGGAGAGAGCATTCTCGACACCGTTTATTGCAGCGGTGCAAATTTTTACGTTTTCCGCAGTTTTTGCGGCCCGGCGTTCCTCAGCCTCAATTAAGGCTCTAAGTTCGGGGGGGCATTCCTCCGTCTGCCTGCCTTCATTTCCACCGTGAGGAGAAGGATTCTCTTCTGTGGTTCCTGGTGTATGTTCCAGGGGGTTCGGGGTAGATGCTGCACCTTTTGCCTTGTTCGCATCTGCAATCGCAGCCCGCCTCATAGCCGGCACAGCGACTTCAATGAGAGGAAGTATATGCTGTCCGGTAGTCGCTGTCCCTAAATTGTTGCGACTCGTCGCTGCATTTTCAGCTCCGGTCACATCTGGCTTGGAGTGAATTGAGTTAGGTATTCTTTTCAAATTCTTAAGAGTCTTGTCAATGTCAAAGTTGCCAACATCTATCATATCGCAATCTATGGTACTTTCGTCGATTAATTGGTCGGTGTTCATCTCTTGAACGGCAGTCAGTGGGCCCAACTTGACGCTTGCTTTCTGTCGAGCAACGTGATAGAGGTGCTTGCGGTTATCTACGATGTCTTTCGCCCGCGATGGCTCACTGCGAACTGGGGGCATATTGGTAGCCTGCCAGTCGCTCACAAATTTTGAATTAAGGGCGTACGATATCACGATATCGAGAGAGGGAGGGAGAGGGGGAAAGGGTGAATATTCAAAATTTCGAATTTCAAAAAATTGTGGGTGTGTGGGTGTGTGTGTTTTATTGTACTGCTTGAGTCTATATAAGGAAATGGTTAAACTGTCCTTTGCAGCTATTGATGGTGACATGAATTAAGATGATGATTGTGATTAAGATAGATTTCTATATAGTTTATAATACGTGATATGCTCAGGTTCATATACTTCGAGCCAAGCAACCAGATTATGTTCCTCTAGATCTAGATTCATCAGAATAATTACTTACTCAGTAAAATTCTCCTAGTCTCAGTTGTGTGTTTAGGATCTTGATTAGGTTTCTAGTAACTAGTCAATGATGTTTCTCATATCACTGAGACATAGTCATGGTTGATACAACAGGTACAAACGATGAATCGTGCCTGTACATGACGTTGTGATATAGTCATGATCGTCTGAACAATATCAACTCATGAATGAATCATGTCTCTACATGACAGTCTATGACTATCAAGCACATTGGGCTCCTCTCTAACCCAGGCCACACCTTGTACAGTGCTCCTATCCTCTTTTGTTACTTGTAAGATCATTGATATATTCCCCTTGACGAATAGCCATTCAGCTCAGTATTTACCCGTGGAATTCGGCCACCTTTTTCACGGAACCTTCTACCCAAAAAAATAAAAATGGTAGCAATGGAAACTGCGTGCGCGGGAAAAAGTCTCAAAAAACCTGCAGCTCCAGTCAGGCGAGGCCTAGACACAGGGACCACACGAGGTGCGCATATCTATCTATATCTCCCATCTTTGTAACAGTTGAGGTCGACTTGATCCAATCCGCCATCTCCATATCAGGTGCTGGGTACGCTCCGGAAACTCATCAAATGGCTTTTCTTCTATGAACAAGGGTTGGTGACGAGAAGGGCTTTGACGCTGGCATTTGATCTGGTCGTGGTTAGCTACATGATAGTTGTGGTAGGGGGGATGTGTTGAGAGATGAAGACGATACAGACCGCGAAAGCGATTGGGAATCCTCGTCGAAGTGAGGATTTTGTTACTCAATCTCGGCTTTGCAGACTCTACAGTGAGGGCAGGAGGTTCGTAGGGGACACCACTGACAGGTGTTGAGAATAGTCCCCCAGCGCCACTCGAATCAGGCCTAGGTTGACCAACAAAGGCTACAGGGACCAATCAGCTTACCAGCCGTTACAGTTGTTGATACTTGTTGGATAACTTGTTTGGATTTTTGAGTTTGTCCACCAAATTCTTCCTTTACAAGGCGTTCGGCTTCAGAGGCAGTTATAAACCTCCCTTTATATCTGAATCTACCTGCCTTTGGGTCGAAGTGAAGGGATTTAGTCTTCTGGGACGTCCCAAGCTCCCAAGGCACTGTGTTATCGGTATTCCGCAGGAAACTAGTAGGGTATAAATAGGGTATAGGTGTAGAGTATGGTGGTGATTCCTAAGAGTAGGAGGTATAAAGTCAGCGTTAGGTATAAGGTTCACGGAAGAGGTAAAAGTAAAGTGAGTAATAGGTGAGGTTGGTACAATAACGGCGGTCTTATTTAGAGAAGAGATAAGTATGTGAACAATAGGTAGCAGTATAAACAGAAGACGTTGCGTGAAGAAGAATACTCCTTCACGCTGGGTATATATGTACATCAGATAATAGGACAGCCCTAAGCTCTGTCTCAAACACTATTACTACACAATTGCTATGAAACGAGCCAATATTCCTGAGCCTGTCCTACTTGTTTAGTAACTAGATTTAACAGCGAGGTTGCGTCTTGGCATGAGGCTTCCTGTGAGACAACATCCTAGGGTTCACTACTTCTATCCGCGAAACTCAGGAATACAGGTGAACGAAGAAGCAGATGCAACTGTGCGCTCCGGTTTGCGAATATTGCCTAGTCTGGATAACCAACTACGATGCATCTCGTTTGCATACCTTCGTCGTATCATGAATAGCCGGCTACAAGCTTTAGTCAGCCATTGGTGAGATAAAGCGTGCCCTGCTCTCTATCGAAAGTTAGATCTATCGAAATACTATTCTAGGCTGGAAAGACGTATTGTTAGGATAATGGTATAGAAGGAAGTAGCTTTGGCTTTAGTAGAAGTGAAGTTCGTGAGTTATACTCTTAGTACTTAGATGAATGGACGACACTGAGGGTATTCCCGAGTATTCTTAAGTGTGTGAATAACGTGGAGATTGCCTAAATTTCCTATTGCATGTGTTGCTTATTATTACTATTATTTTATAATTTCATTCGATTGTCCTGTCTAAATCTATGATTATGTAGGACATACGCGTCCTCTCTGCCTACAGGCCAAGAATACCTATGCCTCCCATACAGCTCCCTTCAAACATTGCCGCCCTCACAAGTCCTCATTCTATCATACACTTAGAAGAGCCCTTAGCCCTTCATTATCTCCCCTCTCCAGCCAATGAAACAATAACCATTTGCGAGTGTATGGCATCCGGGAAAAATCGCAAAAACCACTGGATGTGGAGCTCTCCTAAAACCGAAATCATGGCTAAATTCAAAAACATAATGATCCTTCCGAAGGGTTCGAATAGACCGGCCAGCTGGGCGCTGCAGACTTGTGTGTACCTCTTGAAATTCACACTCTGCCTTCCTAGCCTCTTTCCAATTCCTTCCCGAAGATCGTACTGAAGTGTCAGGAAAGTCTTGACAGAGCGTGATTGCTGTATGGTAGCTTAGCCCAACTTCTTATATGCCGTCCATGGCACTAGGGAGTGCCGTTATCTCATCGACTGTAAAAGTCCTCCTGCCTTAATATCAGAAACCTCGGTCTTAGCGCCCACAAACGCGCCAAAGATGAAAACTACTCGAAAATGTCGATCCAAGTATGGTCTTCAAGGATTGATCACGCTCTCGCTCCGTATCTCAGACGCCTGTTCTCCCTCAAGTTGTTTGTCCCATTAGAGCAATAGTCCACCATAAGCCAGGTCCCAGGCTTTGTATTTTTCGACTTGATTTCCTCCTTGCGGGTATAAATAGCGTCGTAGATGTATAGTGGGAGATGGCTGGTAATTAACAGAGCAAGCTCCTGTTTGCAATTGGAGCAATTTCTTTATTGGTCGTTGAGGCGAGAGGAGAATGGTAAGAGAGGCATTGATAAGAAGTCGTCGAATGGAGACGTGCTTGTGTTTACTTTCAACCATGATTCGGATGCGATTCATCCTGGCTATCCCAGATATGCAGAGCATACCGAGCCATTACACAGGCACCACTAGAAGGAAAAGAATTCGTCTGTACAAGCTGGCTGAACACTGAGAATGACTGTGGGATTAAAAAAGTCGCGTTGTCTTGAAGCTCTTACCTACTCTATATCGACTTAACCACGTGAAATGGCAGGTACGTGGGCGTTGTTTGCGGCCGGGTGACCGTGAAACAACGCGCACTTAGTTGCTCGAGCTCTAGTCTCCGTCATCTACTGATTCATACCTTCCCTGTCTGCAGTTTAGGAAGAGATGAAAGACTCGTAATTTAAATACGCGTAAACATGCCGACCTCCCTTCCGAAAATCCTTTTCTGCTCCCACGAGATTTCATATTCATTGCTAGGTCGTGGTTGTTTAGCTTATTTCAGTATGGATATCACCTCGTCTTTTCCTTACATGACAACATCTCACAAATATTTTAACACAGACCACTTCACCAGTAGGCCAGATACATCGCATAACAAGTCTTCCTACTCGACAGCACCAACTGAACCACTCCACGTGGGTACAACTTCGGGATTGGATCGCAAGCCGTCAGGTCCTATAGCTCCGCCCACTCGCCAATGTGAGAATCAGAAAAGATACGAAAAAGTCCTACCAAGCTCAAAATCCGGTGGCATTCCTGACCCAACAACCTGTTACATCGGAGATGCTCTCGCTCGTCCGTTTCTCCTCCGGAAGCCGCAGCATCTGCTCGTAGTCCTCGACCTTAATGGCACACTAATTTACCGCCCCAGCAAGAAGAATCCAGCGCGCTTCATCAGGCGCCCGCATGCCTTGCGCTTTTTACGATATTGCGTCGAGAATTTCACTGTAGTAATCTGGTCGTCAGCTCGCCCGGAAAACGTCGAGCTCATTTGCAAACGACTCATTCCTCCATCGCTTAGAAAACGTCTAACAGCTATTTGGGCTCGAAATAAGTTTGGTCTAGTTAAAGAAGATTATGATCTCAGAGTTGTATGCTTCAAACGCTTGAGTAAATTGTGGAGAGATGCCTCAATATCACAATCACACCCTGATTACTCGAGTGGTGGCCGGTGGGACCAGACTAACACCGTCCTTATTGATGACTCGTTTGAAAAAGGTAGATCTGAACCATTCAATCTGATCAGAGTACCAGAGTTTTTGGGAGATATCCACGAATCAGATGATGTATTGCCTAAGGTTCTCGAGTACTTGGATTGTCTGTCCTCATACTCAAACATAAGTGCGTATATACACAAAGATCCATTTGCAATAAGAATAGAATAAAGCCAACAAGGGCAGTAAGAAACTGTGCTTTTAAAGTTTAGCGGGATGTTAAGAATACTTTGAAGTTACTGGTCTAGACAAGGGGGACAATTAATTTTATTCTACGCCATAACACTAATAAATCATTCACGCGAATAAATGAATTAATATTTAATCGTGAGGGACACAAGCCTATCATTTACATAGCATGACGCGGGGAAGGTTAGTCCTTCCCCGACGACTCTATACGACGATAACTCAGTTTGAAATTTGGACTACTCATGTAGTGGGTGCATTCGCTGATACCACTCGAGACCTTGGTGCAAAAGACTTTCACCCTTCCCTCAACCGTTAATATCCACCAAAGGGAGAACAGGTAAAACTTTTGTTTACCCTAACATGCCTTTGCTGTTTTATTTAAAGCCACCGCGCGAGATATGGCCTCACTGTCCTCCCTTTCTTGAGTGAGGTAGATGTCCAGGCTACCCAGACTTTAATTCGGAGAGATGACGATCAGGAGGCGGACCAAAACACCTTCCATCGTTGCCTGTTTTTAGAGTGTCGGTATCATTATCCAAAATCGTTGCCTCAGCGCCCACAGATACCCTTAAGTCGAAAATACTCGAAAAATGTGCGTCCCAGCATGCCCATTTGTGACCTCTTCACTCGTTCGTCCCACGTCCCAGCTGCCTGTCCTCCCTCAAGAGGTGAAGCCCCATTAAATCGATGGTCCCCCATAGACCAAGACCTGAGCTTTGTAGAATATGATTGGTTTCTTCCTCGCGAGTATACATAGCATCGTAACTTTATAGTGGGAGAGGGGCGGTTTCTGGTGAGGCAAATTCCCTATTGCAATTAGAGTAACGCCATCATCGGTAGTTGATGCGAGATAATGTGTGGTAAGATTAAGCCAGAGGACTCGCGCGAGAATGATAGCTCTAATGTTTGAAGAGAAGTCGTTGAATTTAGACGTGCTTGAGGTTTCTTTCGACTTTGATTCGGATGCGATTCTCCTTGGCTATCCCAGACATGCAGAGCATACTGAGCTATTACACCGGCACCACTAGAAGGTGAAGAATTTGTCTTTCCCTGCGGTGAGTCTAGCGATCGGTGGTATCTAATTTATCACTAATCTATTTCCCTCTCATTGGTCTCACGTGCAACATTACCTAGATTGTTAGTTGATACTAATGTGATCATTGCCTTCTCAACAGCTTCTGTCCAAAAAAGGTAAAAATGGTAGCGATGGAAACTACGCGCGCATGACTTTGGATGCTGGGCTAGGCTCCTTCGCGACTGTCACTCTCGACCAAGACTTTTCTGACATCCTTTCACGACCTTCGGTTTGTCCTGCGGCATGAATCAATAGAGGAGTAAGGAAGAGGCTAGGAAGGTTGAGAGACGCTCTTAGGTATACACAGGTCTGCTGCGCACGGCTGGCCGGCCTTTTCGTCATAGGAGGACTCAGCACCCAGTGGTTTTTGAGACTTTTCCCAGCAGCTACACACCCGCAAATGGCCATTGTTTCGTTGGCTGAAGAGGGTAGATAATGACGGGATGATAGCTCCTCTTAGTGTGTACTCGAATGAAGACCTATGGGGGTTTTTTGCCGGAAAGAAGTCGTGAAGGAGGCATAGTAAGGAGTAAGCTACCCGAAGCATAGATACTCTCGGCCTGTAGGCAGAAAGGACCTAAATTTCCTCTGATATTCATAGACTCATCAGGTCAGTAAACACTCACTCTTAAAAAACAAAAATAAACTGCGTACGCGGCGACATGTCTTAAAAATTTGCAGACCCGCACTTCTTTTTTAAGATTTTAGTGTGTATTTAGTTATAGAGCTATGATACATGACCGGTGCTATGTATACATGTAGGATGACTCTTTTGAATTTAGAGACACTCATACTCTAGATTTCATTCGCAAATACCACTATGAGGTATGCTTACTTAAGCAAACAGTCGACTCTCCTCCGTGAGTACCCACCAAAGGAACGTTTCAAAATCTCTGGTTATCCAAGCATGCCTTCGTCATCCATGAATAACAGCGCCGGGAGGAATGTGGTTGTATTTTGCCGGATTTGAACCAGCGATCTACTGTCTCGAGTGGGATGTGTGTCCAAGCTATCCAGATTCTACATGGTAGACCTGCCAAGACGATGTACCACCGCACCATCCAGCCATGGCGGTGTTTAGACTCGCCCTCCTGCAACTCCGCCCAGTCGAGGCATAAATATCGAAGCCACACTCGGGGTTCTGGTTATTCAGTTTATGATCAAAATAATTTCACGTAGGTGTCTCGTGTCTCCGACTAATCAAAAATATAATGTGAGTAGAGCTCGAGACTTAAAATCCGGGATTGATTATTCTATAGCATGGGATCTCACTTATTTAAATATTCCCCTCACACCACGTGAGCTAATCATCAGCACACAATGTGCATGGTCGAGTATCCATCAATATTTCAATTATTTGCGACGAAAAATTTCAAAATTATTCAAGTGAATCATAAGACGAACAAACGGCAGGAAGGCTGCTCTCATGTAGAGATGAAAAAAGTAGATTGGCTACGAGAAGAGAGCAAATAGAAGCTGCCAGGGACTATATGCTAACGTGCACGTACCAAATGTAGTCACGCTATCGTACCTAGGGCCAGGCTGGGATGTCAGGAGACAGGGGAGAGGAGGATGGGCTGCTGGATTAGGAAAGGGTGGAAAATACAGGCTGGTGCACAGACGCTGTTCATGTAATTTACAATCTTTTCCCCCGCCAAGTTTGGTGAATTAACCCAGCCAAATAATATCATACTTAACATCATCCATTAGATGGTATTATCAATCATTTGAATACGCATATAGCATCACCTTCATAAATCACCATTGCCAGTAAGAGTTTACATCTGATACCTACTTACTCCTATTGGCCACAGTGATACGCACTCAGTGTCCATCGTGCCATCACCCAGAGTGAGCGCGCCATCTCCGCGACTCACCATTGCACTTGAACCGTGCTACTCTACTGACGGACAGCAGAGACATAATTGCCATACACCTTACAGCTCATAATCACAACACAGATTCATGCAAGGCCGTATCTAATACACCATCGCATTGTCAAGAGTTGTGTATGCTCAGGAATCTTATAGAATGGCCTCTTTCCCCGAACAAGGAAATAGTGGATGATGAGCAGGGCTTCGATCCTCCCACCCAATCTGATCGAGATTAGCTTCTTGATAATGGTACTAGGGAGATGTACTAAGAAGTGAAGGCGATATAGACCGCAAGGCAGTGGAGAATCCTCGTCGAATTAGGGACAAAGGTACTGCTAAATCTCGACTTTGCACACTCTGCAATGAGAGCTAGAGGTTCGTAGGGAACATTGCTGATAGGTGTTGCGTTTTCGCCCCCCTAAAGCCATATGTAGTTCATCCTATGGAAAAATGTATATCCTATTTGTTTAGTTAGGATATACCTTTAATCATGGATGTTTGAGCAGATTGGAGGAAGGGCCTAACATTGGGCAGGTATGACTCGAGATGGTTGCAGGGAACTTCATTCACCATCATGCACGTTATAATTCTTGGATACATGACGTTAGCGGACCAACGCATTATTATTAAGTACCTTGCTATAAGACTTTAGTTCAAGTTGTCGATCCAAGCTGGGTGAGGGTTCAGAGTTCATCCTGCCATGTTGTCCCCTTCAAATTTCCTACTCTCTTTGTGAAGTGCGCAAAGCGGAGATTGAGTCTCACGCTAGCTAGCACAAACCTTCTTGCTGGGGCTACTGCGAAAAACCCCTGTGTCCAAGGGTGGCGAAAAGGAACTGGATAGGTTTTATATCAGAAAGACATCGTTTAATACTTCTCTAGCATTTCAGTGCGTCCTCCACTGTGTTTCCAGGTACAAATTTCAAGAGTAAGAAGAAGCCATAATAGATAGAGTATGACTTTCTTAGATTCACAGAACTCTAAACTTCCTGCTGATCGGCCTCTTTGAATTCTTTACGTAGACTACAACATCTTCGGATGTGGATTTATTCTTGGCTTGATCATGACCTCTACCTGGTGCTTTTTGAGGTTTTTCCTGGCCGCCATCTACCCGTGAATAGCTTTCGTTGTTTTGAGGAGAGACACCAAGGGCAAACAGCTACCCGAAGTTTAGATGGATGAAGACTTATCACGTGTGGTACGGTGGAAGTGAGCTTAACAAGAATCATGGTCAGAATACGCCATTCGAGGCAGAAGTATCATTATTCAGTTAGTTGAAAAAATGCGCGTTTCTGGCGTAGTTTTGAATAAAGAAATTCAGAATATATGCAAAGGTTAAGTGTGTTTGTCATTTTTGTTTTGCTGATTTGAAGTCCTAAGCTATGCTCTGTATATCCTAGGAGTCAAGGACAGGTGTTCACGGCCGAGAACATGCTACCCACATGCCCAACTCGGTCTCGGCGTGTGAGCCACTACACAACCAGTATATAGATGAAAAAGAAAATTAAAATTCACATATCCAAAATTCCAAACCTAATAATCCTATTTGTGCCTGGAAAAAAACACTCCTCGTCTCGTTTTCCCACCTGTCATGCTTCGTGCTGTGATTTATTTAGCGCCGTCTCCGCTGAGAGCTGAAGACGGACTCGCAGGTGAGCCCCTAGAGCAGCCGGTTTCCTGCGCAAATTTTGTATATTCTCAAGGCACTTAAGCCCGAGAAGCTTATAGGCAAAAGTGTGTTTGTTGTTTGTTTTCTATTTTATGTCCGACTAATGACAATTTTTTTTTGCATCAGATTTGAATTGCGTATGCAGCTATCTAGCTATGACACAATATCAAAGAAAAGTACAGAATAGATGATTCAACTTAAGGGAAGAGCACCCATGCCTCAGATTTCATTTGCAAGTACCACTGCGAAGTTATGGTGGCTTTTTCTTCACCCCAAGTCAACTCTCATCCGTGAATACCCACCTAGGGGAACGTCTCAAAAACCCTGAGTTATCAAGACATGCCTCCATCATCTTTCAACTTTTCTCCGCGTGAAATGTAATCTGAGATGTCTCCTTCCAAAGTGGATTGAGTACCCAGGCTACTCAAACTATACCAGAGAACAACACCAGGAGGCGGACCACAGCACCTTCCATCGCTTGCTTTTTTTTATAGAGTCAACTGCACTCTCGCAAGCGAAGTCTTGGCGCGCAAATAGCTGAATTCGTAATACTCTTACCAAAATTCGAAATTTCACGCCCGTCGAGAATGTATCCCTCTTTTTCATCATCTTGTAAACTTGTCCTGATCTCTGTCACGTCCATCCCAAAGAGCCATCACCCAGATTTGTGCTCCACGCTTTGCTTCCTCCGTCGGGTATAAATATCGGCGTGGGCGTGTATTTGGTGACCAGCTGAGGCCAGAGAAAGTCGACTAGAGGTGCGCTCATTGGAATTAGGATGTACTAGGTCGTGCTTGTAGATTTGATGAGGCTTAGATGTGAATCGGACTCTTTGGGAGTGAAAAAATGAAATGGAGGAGTAATTTGAATCATTGCCTCGTGGGCCAACTTCTTTGATATTGCAAAATTTGACTGAACTTGGCTCTGGAAGAATATTTCACTCCCAGGTTTGTAGAGGACACCGCGTACAGTTGTTCAGTCTTGCCCTCCGACTAATGACTATATACACTAGTCCCTGATGGGGGAAAGGACGCCAAGGCTTACTGCCCTGGGAACATAAGACACCCAACTTCCCCAAGCTAAAGAAGGAGCCCGATATCAAAAGCAGTGTCATTTGACTTGAACAGTCATCTTGTCTACGAGAATTTTGATTCCTGAAGGAGATAGACAGCAATGAAAAAGAGAAGAAAATTATCCCGTCATTTTGCAATAATTTTAAAAGATAGAAAGGAATTTGATAACACATGTTTTATTTTTTTTCCGTCCTTGGGATGAGAAGAGGTGGCATTGAACTGCCGCTAAGCATCGCTTATTGACAGTGCAGGACGAATCCTTGGGCAGCAAAGAATGGGCGAGCACGCGCCCGCTGTAATGCGAGTTTAATTTACTTGCTCCTCAGATCATGTGACTTATAAATGGAAGTAGCACTAAAATAGTCTAGTAAGTTTAATCCAAAGTATAAATTATCAAATTTTCACCCCTCACTCCATCACAACCCATCCACAATCTCCAAGCTCTCTTCAAACTCTTAATTCAAGATGGTCTTCGGAAAACTTTACACCATGCGGGTATGTTAATTAACTGCTAAAGTTTAACCGCTATTAAAATGCACGCTCCAAACAGGACAATCCCCGGTCCATACCTATCATCGCGATCGCTAAGGCCAACAACATAGAGCTTGAGATCGTCGAAACAAAACCTGGCTCAGAATGCCCAGAATATCGAAAAATAAATAAATTAGGAAAAGTCCCAACTTTCGTTGGAGCTAATGGCTTTGTCCTTCGCGAAACTATCGCAATCTCCATGTACAGTAAGCACCATTTAATTTAAGATTAAACAGTCTCTTTCGCACCAAGCTATGATGAAAAACACAGTCAACAGTTATCCCTGTCTGAATTCAATGTGTTGATCTATTTAATTAGACTCTGAGCAACATTATGTTCATTATGATTACATGTCTAAAGTGGATACGTACTAACTGAAATAGTAACTAGCCAAAATCCAAAAACAGAACTATTAGGTAAAACAAAAGAAGAGTACGTCTTTTCCCCAGAGTATTCATATCACGTCCTAACAAATAGTAGATACGTTTCTATTTTGCAATGGATGTCCTTCATTAACGGAGAGATTGCTTCCTCATTCTCCGGCTGGCTTCTCCCAATATATGGCCGAACCCAATACAACAAAAAGGTAGTAGATGAGTCTCTTAAAGCAACAAACAGGGTACTAGAAACTCTTGAGGAACATCTCCTCCACAACACCTACTTGATTGGAGATATTCTGTCTCTTGCCGATATATTCTGTATTGGAATAATGTCTAGAGGGTTTCAATATCAGTTTGGAAAAGAATGGCGGGCAGCACATCCCACTATCACTCGTTGGTACGAAACTGTCTACAACCAGCCTATTTATCTTGACGTTGCTGAGGAGTTGAAATTTATTGATGAACCCATCAAATATCAAACTCTAAAGAAAGAAGCACCTCCTAAGGCTGTTGCAAAGCCAAAGAAGGAAGTAGAAGCTGAAGAGGAGGAAGAAACACATGAAGCCCCCAAAGCCAAACACCCTCTCGAGGCCCTACCGAAGCCCTCGTTTGTTCTCGACGAGTGGAAAAGGCAATATTCAAATAACGAGACACCTGACGCTCTTAAATGGTTTTGGGAAAACTACAAATCTGAAGAATATTCATTATGGAAGATACAGTACAAGTATAATGAGGAACTTAGTCACGTATTCATGTCTTCGAATTTGATTGGTGGTTTTTTTGCAAGGTTAGAAGCATCCCGGAAGTATATTTTCGGCTGCGCCTCTGTATTTGGAGTAAAGGACGATTCAGTCATTCAAGGTGCTTTTGTAATCCGGGGCCAAGATGCTGCTCCGGCCCTCGATGTGGCTCCCGATTTTGACAGCTACGAGGTTACTAAACTAGACCCAACCAACGAGGAAGATAAAAAATTCGTTGAGGAACAGTGGTCCTGGGAGAAGCCAATTACCGTCAACGGAAAGGAGTTTGTGTGGGCCGACGGAAAAGTTTTCAAGTAGGATATTTCTAACGAAGCATTAAATGAGTTATGAATACGTAAAAGCACTTTCACCCATTTCTCTTGTTTAACGTAATCTAAACCAACAGCATTAGGTACAGCCAACTCATCACAAACATGTATAACTTTTGCAAATCGATGTGAGAACATAATAAGATATGGACATTTAGTCTGACAGGTCAAGGATACTTAGTCAGTAATATATGCCCTACGTCTCTCATTCAACTTCCCTCAAACATTACCATTAATTCCAGAACTTTGTTGTTTATTACTATTAGAAGAGACCTAACAGAGTGTGATTGCCGCACAGCAGCTTAGCCCAACCTCTCTGTGCTATACTAGAAACTGGAAGGATCCGTGACCATTCGACAACAGAAGAGTTACCAGTTTCAAAACCTGTCAGTAGTGTCCCCTACGAACCTCCTGCCCTCACTGTAGAGTCTGCAAAGCCGAGATTGAGTAACAAAATCCTCACTTCGACGAGGATTCCCAATCGCTTTCGCGGTCTGTATCGTCTTCATCTCTCAACACATCCCCCCTACCACAACTATCATGTAGCTAACCACGACCAGATCAAATGCCAGCGTCAAAGCCCTTCTCGTCACCAACCCTTGTTCATAGAAGAAAAGCCATTTGATGAGTTTCCGGAGCGTACCCAGCACCCGATACGGAGATGGTGGATTGGATCAAGCCGGCCTCGACTGTTACAAAGAAGGGAGATATAGATGAATATGCGCACCTCGTGTGGTCCCTGTGTCTAGGCCTCGCCTGGCTGGGGCTACAGGTTATTTGAGACGTTTTCCCGCGTACGCAGTTTCCATTGCTACTTTTTTTTTTTTTTTTTTTTTTTTTTTTTTTTTTTTTGGGTAGAAGGTCCCGTGGAAAAGGTGGCCGAATTCCATAGGTAAACACTGAGCTGAATGGCTATTCATCACGGGCAATATATCAATGATTTTACAAGTAACAAAAGAGAATAGGATCACCGTACAGGGTGTGGCCTGAGCCAGAGAGGAGCTCAATTTGCTAGTTAATCTATAACTTCAGTAGTACAATTTAAAAAAAATCGGCAATAGAAGACCTGACTTATTAGCTGAAATCTCGGTCTTATCGACGCAAAGTTTCCAAATTCAGAAAAACCTCAAAAATATTAGACCTATTATTACTACCAGACCTCTCTTCCATAGCTCTTTCCACGCCCCTGTCGCCTGTACTTCATCAAGATGTATAAAATCATTACAGCAGCGGCCCTACACCATCCATAACCGGAGCCTTGTACATTATGACTTAATTTCCTCTTTTTGCATTAGATTTTAGTAGCGTTTGCAGCCATCTAACTATGACACAATATCAGAGAAAAAGTACATAATGACTTCATATAAAAATAAAGCACTCATGCTGCGGATTTCATTTGCAAGTACCACTACGAAGTTATGGTGGCTTTTCTTCACCCCAAGCCAACCCTCATCCGTGTTTAATCACTCAGGGAAACATAATAAAAGCCCTGAATTATCCAGAAATGCCTCTATCATCTATTTGCTTTTCTCCGCGAGATATGTAGTATAGTTGTCTCCTTCCCAAGTGGAGTTAGGTACCCAGGCTACTAGAACTATACCAGAGAACACCACCAAGAGCCGGACCACGGCACCTTTCATCGTTGGCTTTTTTTTGTAGTGTCAGCTGCACTCTCGCAATCGAAGGTCTGGCGTTCACAATATTCTTCATCTTGTAAAACATCTGGCTAATATTTCATCTCGTAGCCGTCGAGATAGTATCCTTCCTTTGCATCATCTTATAAGCTTATCCGGATGCTCTCATGAACATACCAAAGAACTACCTCCCAGACTTGTGCGCCACGATTTGTTTCCTCCGACGGGTGTAAATGTCGGAGGGGGCGTATATTTGGTGGCTAGCTGAGGTCAGAGAATAGTCGAGAATAGGTGTAGTCATCGAAATGAGTATGTATTTGGTCGTACTATGTTGTGTTATCCATGTAACTTACCATGGTACATGCTTCAGGTCGCGTCATAGCATATGCACGTGACTGTGGAACTAAACCGTAGGGTGTTTAGTGTGTAATGCATGTTTATTAATTTAGGTCCTAGGCTATACCCGATATCCCCTAAGGGTCAAAGACCGATGTTCACAGCCAAGATCATATCCCTGATAAGCCAAACTTGATCCCACCGCTTGAACCACTACACAAATAGTAGCTAGTATAAAATTCGCACTGGTACAAAAATTCAACCTTTAAAAAACCAAACTCCTAACCACAAAACTATCCAGCTCTGTAGATTTACCAATCTCTGGTTCGGAAACAAATCTCCTCGACTTGTCTTCCTTCCTGTCATATCATCTGTATGACTAATTTATATTGTCCCCGATGAGATCAGAGGACGAATTTGTAGATGGCAACCCAAAACAGCAGGTTTCCTTCTCAAAGATTTTGAAAAATTCGTGACACTTTGGCCCGATAAGTTTTTGGATAAAGCCACTATGTGACGATCTCCCTCTGAGTCGACGCGTGACGTGAGCGTGTAGTCGACAGTGAATATTATGGGTAGGAGTGGTCTCCTCCCCACAGGCGCACTCCATTATAGCGTCCAGATTGTTGAAACGGCGATGATGCGCCGCGAAATTGCCATGGCCCGTACGAGCTGCAATCAGATTTCGGAGTAGGAACCTCGAAAGAGCCAGCTCAGGTGGTTTCCTTCGTCGCATGAGCAGGTCGAGCTTGCGATATCGGGGCGGGCAAGCTTCGTTCCACCAATCGTCGAGTAACGCCTGCCGCAGACGATTCATTTGGCCATAAAGAAATGCCAGAGTGATGGATTCTGGATGCATTTCCGGGCTCGGCAGCATTCGTAGGCCAGACCTGGCGGCCGAGTCGGCTTCCAAGTTACCCTGGATTCTTGAGTGCCCGGGAACCCATTTAATTGTCACGCGAGCTGATTTGGACAACTCCCGAAATTTTCGTACTTCATCGTGGCTTGTCGTGGACTTGCCTGTCTCGAGTGCGTTGATTGCCTGCTGACTATCCAGTAGAAGGTTGACTTGTTGCGTCGCGCTCTGGAGTCCCAATGCTGCTTCAAGAGCCTTCCTTGCCCCGGTGATTTCCGCATCCAAAGCCTCATCCCCATGCCTGATGCCACTTCCTGTAAGCAAAGTCTGCCCGTCTCTCTTTAGAACAAAACCCCAAGCAGAGCGTCCATTCCCCTCCGATGAGCCATCCGAGTAGGCACAAATTTCCGAATTCGGCACCTGGTTGATCCATTGCCTACAGATCTCAATTTGTTCTTCCTTAGATCCTGCTTTCGGTAAGTAGGATGTAGGCGGCAGTGGTTCCGCGTGCTCTGCTTTTGGTAATTGTCGGTACGCCCGCTGGACTCGTGACATTATTACTTCAGGAACCGAAGTCCCTCGATTTCTCTTCTTGTATTTCCGCGTGCCGATATTTGGGCACACAGCCGCACGAATCCTCAGCGGGTGGCGATCATCCAGAGTTTTGAGCCTAACTGACAGTCGAAGTCGATTACCCTCCAGTATGATTTTCCCTGGTGGAATTCCTCCTTCTCTGTGCAGTACAACGTTTGCTGTCGTCCTCATTACCGGGAGTGCAGCTCGAAGTCCCATCAAGACAGCCTTGTCGATCATACCACTTAGATGTGCTGTTGGTGGGGTTGTCATGCCTTTTCTCGTCGGGCGTTTGAGACCAGGCCACCAGATTTCCGCACCGAATGTCGCAATAGGAACCACACACATGTCGACTGCTCGAATAAGTGCTCCTGGAGCGGCTCCTCGGAGAGCAGTGTTGAAGCGGCGCAGGCTCTGTGCAACTTTCAAGGCTTTACCGCACCAAGTTGTTACGTGGTGCTTAAAGGTCAGCCGGGGATCTAGGTAGACACCCAACCAGCGAACATATTCGGCCGGCTCGATAAGGGTTCCATTGACATAGATTCCTTTCGCAGGCTCGCGGCACCGTGCTGGAATTGGATTACTTCAGACTTACTTGTGTCGAAAGCAACCGCATTTTTTCCCGCCCAATCCAGGAGATCGTCGGCTTCACTCTGGGCCGCAGCGGCGGATTCCGTTATGGTACGGCCAAATCCGATGATTCCGAAGTCGTCGGCGTAGCTGAACCTCATACCTGGCTTTCCGCTTCGCATGGGCTCTGCCATGTAAAGAAGAAAAAGGAGTGGGGATATGGGTGAGCCCTGGGGGACTCCACAGCTTAGCAGTCGTTGAGCGGTCACTCCTCCCGAGTGACGAACTTGGACCATTCGATGCGCTAGAAACGATGTCGTCCACTTGAGGATCGAGTCTGGCCAACCTTGCTCCTGCATCCTTCTCACCAGACGGTTATGGAGAACTGCGTCGAAGGCACCTTGAACGTCCAGGGTTACAAATGTAGCCGTCCACTTTTGGGAGCTTGCCTCTTCAATGTCGTGTACCACACAGGAGACGAGGTCGATTGCTGAGCGTCTTGGGAGCGCGCCAAATTGCTGTTGTCCCGTTACATCAAAGATCACAGCGAGATGCGCCATACGCTTAGCCAAGAGCCTTTCTAGACCTTTACCTAGGCAAGAAAGAAGGGCGATAGGCCTCCATCCTTTGACTGTCGTTGGGTCTCGATTAGGTTTCGGGACAAGAACGACCTCAGCCAGCTTGAAGCAGGATGGATGAATGCTGATCCTCACGCAGGCTCGGAAGAGTTGAGCGAGGTACGGTCCGATTGTGTTCCAGCAAGCCGCTAGCAGCTCAACTGAGATTCCGTCTGCTCCAGGAGCTGTGTTACCACAGCCGATTGTGCAGTGTCTAACTTCTTCCTCGGAGGTATCTTCATTCCACTGGATTCGGTTGCTGCTTGTCGCTGTGCACGATGGCAAGTCGTCTGACGGCTGATGTCGGGCAAGAAGCTCATCGCGAAGTATTGTGGCTCGCTGTAAAGGGTCCGAGATGAGGGTTCCATTATGATTGAGTGGTGGTGGGATGCTAGCCTGTCGT